AATCATATATTTTAAAAATATAATATGTTATATCAAAGGTATATATTCGAACAATATCTCTTGAAACTTCGATACAAAAATGTTGAAAATTTCAAAAAAGTGCCCTCGCCGCGGACAGCATAACCAAGGTATTGGTTCATATAAAATTAAAAAAACTAAGCATATTCTGTTAGTACCCATCTAAATCTCGTTTTTGAACGTAGGAAATAAAAAAATATTAAAATTGTACTTCTTTCCTCGGACTTTGTACAAAAAATCTCATTTTTGGTAAAATTCTCGGCATTTTTTAGCCAGAAAAATAACTTGTAATGAAACAAGAAAAGATTCTTCGTTCAATAACTAGATAATATTATTTCAAAAACGTGTACACAATATGAACGATAACTTTTCGAGAAATCGTGTCCACCGACTTCAAAAACACAGTTTCGAGGAAAACGCGTTTAAAGACAGGGCACTTAGCGCAGCTAGCCTTGAGTGCACAAGTTCTCAAGGCCGTATCTCCGAAATTATTACACAGATAAGCTTTAAAATTTAGGACTATATTCTAGAGGTATTGTAGAATTTAATTAAGCAAGCAAAAAAAAATCGATTTTTAGAAATTTTCAAACCCACCTAACCCGATCGATTTTTTTTATTGCCTTATTAAATTCTACAACACTCTAAAACATTTTGAAGTTGATCCGAGTAATAGTTTTGGATATACAACCTAGAGAACTTGTGCGCTCGAGGCTGGCTAGAGTAATAGCGCCGTTTTTCTTGAAACAGTGTTTTTCAAGTCGGTTGCAAAGATTTCTCGAGAACTATTTAACCGATTTTCATGAAATTTTATACATGTCTTTAAAATACAATTCTTAAAGGCTTATATTAAGTATTTGATTTCCGATTACGACTATTTGAAAAAAAGGAAATTTTCGCAAAATTTTTACTAAATTCTTAATTTTTTGTTTTGTAAAAATGTCTACCAAAAATCCGATTTTCAGTGTTTTCCTTCGTCAACGATCTAAGTTAAAATTTTAACTAAAACTGGTATGTTTTTACTTTAGATAATCTTATTAGCAGTTATTCTGCCATCGCGGATGCATCTTTTTTCGGAGAGGTCACCGGAAATGGCGTTCGAAATATGTTTTTTCCAAAAATTTCAGAATTTCTTTGTTAATAGTCTATGTTTGTAACAATAAGAAATTCTAATAAAATATTTATAAGGCTTAGAGAAGTTTTGTGCCGATTTCACCCATTTTTGACACAAAAGCACATTATTATCTGAAAATTGTTTTTTCCGAATTACAGTAGGAGTCCCCACAGATTACTCCATATTTTCGGTAAACAGGTAGCAATAGGGACCGTGGTCCACATGTTGGGTTCCTGGGGCCTTGAAATATTATAGACCGATTGTGAAGATTTTTAGACCCCAGATGGACCATCTAGAAGGTACTATTTTTGGACAGTTTTAATAAAGTAACGGTATTGACACTAAATTTAAATAACTGTGAAATGAAGATATTAGATTGAATTTAAATTTCGCCAAATTTCACAACTTAAGACAACTATGCACGGATAATGTTGCACCTAGTTTGGTTGCATGTAGCCCAGCAGTGTTTCGGAGAAGGGATTGTACATAGGGGAGGATAGTGTCATGTGCGTTGCTAATTTTGGTACCGACTCCTATGAAGCCCTTCTCCATCATCTTCAATGTAAAATTTAATGCTAATGAAAATCCTTCATACAATGAGTTATTGCACTTTTACTAGACCATGGTAACCTCACTCATCGTAAAACCCGGTTTTCTTTTTGTTTCCCCAGTGTGTGTAGCCAAATGTTGCGAGACTGAAGAGAAAGTAGTTATCTTTAAAGCTTGTGAGAGAAAATATAGTAAATTGTCCGAAAAGAGACACAGTTTGTGAACTTGTACATTTTATTTTATATTTTACATAATTTATTTGTATAAATAGTGAATATCAAGCCTTAAGGCACTAAAAAGTTGCTACTTCCCAAATAAATTTCGAAAAAGGTTTGCCACCTATTAAAATATTTTAGTTGAAAAAAATAATAACATCAAATATTAAAGCTTGGTTTTAAAGCACAAATGAAGATATTTCACTTTTTAAAATATTTCTAAGCAAGGTTGCCACATTTAATAAAAAAAAATATTTTCAATAAAATTTAAAAAATATATAAAACATTAGAATGTGAACTAACTTAATCAGTTTAAGAAAGATTTTTGTCGGATATAATTTTGAGAAAGGTTGCCATCTATTTAAAAACTTTTAAGTCCACCAAATTGATAATATTAACAAATTACTAAATGATTTATGAATTTCAAGCCAAAATGAATAAAGAAAACTAACATTTACAAATATTTCTGAGTAGAGTTACCACCTGTTCAGTTTCTATTTATTTAATGCATGAAATAATTAATTTATTAATAGTGTATAGCTATGTGAGTATCAAACTAAACCGGTTTAAGCATAATTTGTGTCGGAGTCGATTTTCAGAAGGCTTGCCAGCTGTCTGTTAGTTGAAAAAAAAATTATAAAATTAATCTCTCATTACCAGCTTTGATGGATGAAAGATATTTAGGAAACTTTTGACAGGCAAACGTAATATCTGATGGGATCATAGATAAGCTTTAATCATTCCAATTCATCAACTATTGAATTAAAAGTGGTCATCACGTACGGAAACAGTGAAAAATGTTTACTTAAAATATGTAACTCGAGAGTTTTCCGAGAGCTTTGTATTTTTATTTTCTTACTGCAATACGTAGCGCAGTATATCGAGTTGCAACGAATGAGATGTGTACATGTGACCCTATTTGGAGTATGTTGTAAGCAACAAATTTTTAACTTCGTCCCGCTACCTTTTCCTTAACATGAAATGCATGAAAGCGCATACGTACGCTTACCGGGGTACATATTGCTAGAGTGTATGTGTTCACATGTAAATTGAACATGAGTTTAGAAACAAACTTCATCGTTAGCGCTCAACACCTTCATTCACACCCCTGTGCAACAGCTAAAGTTGTGTTCACACAGTGCTTACTTCCTTTCCATTGTTTGTCTGTGCCTTTGCTGCCTGCTCGGTTTTGTTCTGCAACTTTCGCGATATTCTTGAGCAGCTGCGGTGACACTTTTCTCGTGCAAAGACAAATTCAAATGTCAGTAAAAGATGGCGGTGAAGATGGTGTAAAATCATGAAAAGAGATTAGTAGTAAAAGCAGTACTAATTGGAGTAGAACTACATCCTTTGAGTGTAAGGAAGCTCCTCACCTTACTTAAGTACGAAAATCCAACTGGTTCCTCAGTTTTTGAGATGTCGATCTGAAAATTCCAACACATTCTTTTCTCCCAAAGCAGCTACATATTTGTCGCCTCATTAAATATCAGATCGCTATACCATATAAGTAGCTGGCAAACTGAACGATAGGAATAAACTGTTTCTGTGAAAAACTTTCTCATTTGATTAAAATATCTGCAAGAAATCTTTCAGATCGGTCTACTAAACCAATGATCAAATCAAGTTCTTGCATCATATATTTTTAATCTGTGAAGCATTTTACTACAGGGTTAAGTTAGCTAGCGCATATTCTCACCTATGCAGCTCAGAAGGTGCAACTTCACTTCGCTAGAGCCCTTCTTCAGTCGTCGTATGCTAATTGCGCCGTTGAGCTTGCCAAACTTTTACTTAACACCAATTTTATTCTTGATGATACTTTCCTGTTTCACTTTCCTGTCTCTTCTTCGTTCTCTACTGTTACTACATTTCTCAAATAATCTAACTCTTAATCAGTTTAACACTTTCTATTCAAAACGCACATAAATTACAACTCACTGCTTAGTACTTTTCGATTTTATTTAACTGATATTCTTATTTACATATGTCAACTGTTCACCAGCTATACATTTCACAGAGCCTAAGCTTAATTAATATTCAATTAAAAACTAGATACTTAGTAAATTTGCTTCCTAAAGTTTGATAGTGAATGATAAGTGAAGGATTTATAACATATCAAGTTGTTTTCAAAAGTTTTGTCTTTTGATGAGAAAAACACAGTTTTATCATTCAAAACACACTTTATTATTCAGTTCCCTGAACATTAATATACTTGCTCCAACGTGCCTCTAATCTGTGCACCCCATCCCTGAAGTGAAAATCCGGAAGGTCTGCAAAATCGACTTCAACAGCCGATATGACCTTTTCATTTGATGAAAAACGCAACGCATATATTTTTTCAGTTCTGGAAACATATGGAAGTCGCTGCGGGCCAAATCTGGTGAATATGATGGATGCTCCAACAATTCGAACTTTAATGCATAGATTTTAACCTTTTATTAAAATGCCCTTATGACACGGTGCATTGTCCCGATGAAAAAGGATCTGGAAACTGGCTCAGTTTCACCAATTTTTGCTTCACCTGGTCCAAAAGGTTGCAATAATATCCAGAATTAATTTTTTTTTACCAGTTTGCAATCCACAAACAAAATTCTTCTTGTATCAAAAACAAAAAAAAAAAAAACAAAAAAAAAACTGATGCCATAACTTTCTTGACCGATTTCCGGACACGAACTCATTTGGAAGCCAAACAACCAGGTGCACATCACTCTTTAGCCTCTTATTTTGATACAGAATCACAGTGATAGACCCAAGTCTCATCCGAACCACTTTACCCTTTTAAAAAACGCTGCAAATATTGCTGAGAAAGTCGCATTCCAATGTGGCAAGCTTCACATACTTCTTCAAATATCAAATTACGGAAAAAGACGGTTTTTCTGATTTGAACGTGGTTATAACCACGTAAAGTTATCAAGTGTATCAGTGGGTATCCGACCAATTTTAGTTAACTCGTCAAGGATTATTTATGTAGTTTAAGTTAAAGATCAGATCTTAATATTCTGTATTAAGCATGGCTTTTTATAACCATAGTAATATTGTATATAAGCTCTAAACTGTAACTTTTTCATTTAAGAAATTTTACACACTTCCATTCGTTATTTTCATTGCAGGAACTGATCAACACCGCAATATGCGCCCATCTATAATTCAGCACGTTCGTCGTGTAATTGGCCAAATAGTCCAGCTAACCAGATAGCGTATGCATATGCTTCAAATACCGCGGCCGGCGCTTATGGCGTATTCAACTTTTTGGCCTGATATCTCTCATCAAAAAACCGCCGAATTAGACTGATCTGTCACCATGTGACTATTTTCTACCTTCAGAAGTGAAAACCAGCATTAAAGGAGTGACTCATGTAGACATAGCCGTCTTACAAAAAATGACATATAATATCTATGCATGCACTAGTTGATCACTCGAGGCATTATATTAGGTTTAATGGAACCTATTTTGAATAAATAATAACCTCAAAATATGTTTAATGTGTATTTCATTTCATACTCAAAAAGTTTGGCTTTTTTTTAGTTTTTCCAAGTTTCCAAAACTCCTCTCCAAACCCTTTAATTTGACACCAAAACCTTCAAAATTGGCCAAGATTTGCCGAAATTACGGAAAACTTGCCATTTTCTTCATTTCTTCCAATTTTCCAAAACTCCTCTCCAAACCCTTTAATTTGACACCAAAACCATCAAAATCGGTTAAGAATTGCCGAAATTACGAAGAATTGCTATTTTCTTCATTTTCTCCAATTTTCCAAAACTCCTCTCAAATCCCTTTAATTTGACACCAAAACCTTCAAAATTGGCCATGATTTGCCGAAATTACGGAAAACTTGCCATTTTCTTCATTTCTTCCAATTTTCCAAAACTCCTCTCCAAACCCTTTAATTTGACACCAAAACCTTCAAAATTGGCCAAGATTTGCCGAAATTACGAAGAATTGCTATTTTCTTCATTTTCTCCAATTTTCCAAAACTCCTCTCAAATCCCTTTAATTTGACACCAAAATCATCAAAATCGGTTACGATTTGCCAAAATTACAAAAAAATTTCAATCTGGTCACCCCTGCCACACGGCGGCGCAAACAAAAAATTTCATTTCACCAAATCGCCAATTTGCACCAGGCACGCAGAACAGCCCAGTAGGCAGCTGCCGCGAAAAATTATTTTTTCTTGTAGCCTACCTCAAAGGCGCAATGGAAACTGCCTTATCCACAGCTGCAGGACAGCCGGAAGTGAAGCATAATCCAACGTTTAAGCGAATAACTTCCATAATTCTGCACCAATTTTGTCCGCTCGACCACCAAATGAAAGGGCAAGCGTGCAGCAATACAATAAGATAAAAACAAACATTAACAAATCACATAAAAAGACATTTTTTGAAGGAATATGCGAGCAAGCAACTCTGTTATGAAAAACTCTAATTTAGCATCTACTGAACAAGATGAAAAAATGCTTGTGCTCCTACTGGCTTAAGATACCTCTATACTTGTAGTGTGCAAAATCACATCGTTTCAAATTCACTACGTCAACACTAGTGCATGATTTTATAAGCGCTTCTTTCGCACTGAATTACATTGTTTACGTACAAGGTGAAATAAAGTGCACTACAAAATTGTATTCTCGAAGTGATTACCTTTCGTTTGCCACCAAAATCATTGAAATCGGTTGCGTTTTACCAAAGTTATAGCGAATATGCCGACGGTACTGCATTAGTGCTGCATTATCCACCATTTCCTGTAGCTGCGTGCGCGCCTTTGAGGTATGCTACAAAAAAGTAAAATTTTTTCCCGCAGTTACCTACTGGCTGGTTATGGTCGCCTGGTAGAATTTGATGTTTTTGAATTTGGCGAAAAATGTGGAAACGTGCCCAAAGTAAGCAGTAATGGACCAGAAGTGGTTTTTTCGTAGTTTCGGCAATTCTTAACCGATTTTGATGATTTTGGTGTCAAATGAAAGGGACTTGAGAGGAGTTTTGGAAAATTGGAAGAAAATAATGATTCTTCGTAATTTCGGTAATTCTTAACCGATTTTGATGATTTTGGTGTCAAATTAAAGGGATTTGAAAGGAGTGTTGGAATATTGGAAGAAAATAATGATTCTTCGTAGTTTCGGCAATTCTTAATCGATTTTGATGATTTTGGTGTCAAATTAAAGGGATTTGAGAGAAGCTTCGGACAATTGGAAGAAAATAGCGCTTCTTCGTAATTTCGGCAATTCCTAACCGATTTTGATGGTTTTGGTGTTAAATTAAAGGGATTTGAGAGGAGTTTTGGAAAATTGGAAGAAATGAGGAAAATTAAGATTTTTCGTAATTTTGGCAATTCTTAACCGATTTTGCTGATTTCGGTGTCAAATTAAAGGGACTGAAGGAGAGTTTTGGCAAATTGGAAGAAATGAGGGAAAATTTAGATTTTTCGTAATTTTGGCAATTCTTAACCGATTTTGCTGATTTCGGTGTCAAATTAAAGGGACTGAAGGAGAGTTTTGGCAAATTGGAAGAAATGAGGGAAAATTTAGATTTTTCGTAATTTTGGCAATTCTTTGCCGATTTTAATGAGTTTTTTTTTTTTGTTAAATTTAAGTAATTTAAGAGGCGTTTTGGAAAATTGAGTAAATAAAGAAGCATTGCACAAATAAAAGTTCTAGAAATAGTTAAATAAAGAAAATATATACACATTTTTTATTATCTCTCTTTTACCTTTTATTTTTTTTTTTTATTAATTTTTAAGTATTATTTGCAACTAAATAGAGATATACATAAGCGATGAATAATGAAACACAGCTTCTCCACATGCGTCAACTCAACGTACAATGAAATCTTGTGAGCGCATGCGTGTAAAGCTCGTATCAATCACGTTCATGGTTATCTTCCAACGGCCCATCTAAAATACATTTGACATGCAATTTTAGTATAATTAATTGTACTAGGAGGCCTTGGTTTATCAATACAGGTATTCTCGGCTTTATACTGTTCCACGAATGTGTAGTCCTGAACGACTCGACTTTCAAACTGTCAGCGCCAAGGCCTGCGAAGCTACCTGGAATATGTAAAAAAAAGTTATTAGTTGTAAAAATATATTACATATGCATATATGTATATAAATAAAATATACCTATAATAACTACTGTTTATGAATTAAAAAATCTTAAACGCCTAGAAAGGTATTATCGATCATTTGGGGCTTCTACTGAAAGAAACACGTTTAGTGCAAGAAACCTGTAATGTGTACCTGGTGTAATTTGTACCTGTTTTATACGAATTTCAAAGCAATTCATAAACCCATAAAATATGAAATATTGGCTTCTAATTACTGCCAGTAGGTCAACACTGAAATCGTACAATTTTGAGAGGTATTCTGATCTAAGAATACAAAAAACTCGCTTTTTATATTACCAAAAATAATCATACAAAAATATTCTTCTAGACATGTAGATTTTATAATACTCAAATTATCTGCAGAATATTATAACCGGCATTCAAAATAGTTAGGCTTTTCAGGAAATCTTAAACGTGTTTATTTCGAGACTGTCTTTTTCAAAACAATTCTCACTATTTCTCTGGTTTTACTAAACCAATTTACCTGCCAATTTTAGAGACTTTTTTATAGACCTTCTATCTATATCCCGAAATTTCAATTTATAAAATATCACAGGCTCCTTTAGAGGCCAACTTTTATCGATTAAAGGAGTTCTGCCTTGACCGAAACAAATGGTAGTCCGCTGCTGCAAAGTCACAGCTATATGGTAGATGTATCAAAACTTTCCATGGAAGGTCTTCCAATTTTTGTCGTGTCATCACAGATCTGTGTGGTCTAGCGTTATCCTAATGAAAGACGCAGCCCTATCTGTTGATCAGTTCTGCCTGTTTTTTTTTTTTGATTGCTTGCTTCTATCTCTTCAATTGTTGATAGTAAAGTATAGAGCCAATCGTTCGATCATGCTGGAGCAGCTCATAGTGGATGATTCCTTGCTAATCACACCAAACAGTCAGCATAACCTTTCGGCGCATCAGTCCTGGCTTTGCGACCATTTGTTGAGCTTCACCACGCCTGTACCATGACCATTTTTCACACATTATTACCGTATTTGATGCACTCTTTGTCTTCTGTTACCATTCACTTCAGAAATGATTCGATTTTATTTCGTTTCAGCAACCAAACGCGGATGTTAATTCAGTTCATTAAATATTTCACAGATAATTCATGTGGTACCCTCCTTCTTCCTGTAGCCATCCTTTTTTAAATAGTTCAAAACCGTTTGATGATAAATGTTAAGCTCCTTAGCGATGTCATGGCTGCTTAACCCTTTCGATAATTTGATCGTCTTTTTCAATGATAGCTCGATCAGAACCCTTTTTGTGCTACACAAGCTGAGACAGCATCGTCTCCCTCAACTTCACAAATTACATTCGGGACTTGCGTGACATTCTTTCCATTTTTATGGAAAAATTTTAAAATAGTATAGCGAATTTCTTCATTATTTTCACTCCTTTTTGAGCTACTGTAACTTTTTTCAACTTCCCCGAATTTTATTTATTTTATTTAAAAGAAGTTTAAACTCTTTTCTTTCCAACCTATATGGTATGGCACAATGTGGTTGGTAGCGCTGGAAATATATGTACGACTGCAACGAAATCTATTGACAGAATACGAAAAGACTTTTTCGACTACCCAATATTATACCCGATAATTATATAAATTATAATGATAATATAACAAACTCTATTAGAAGAAGAGAAGATGGGGAAAGTTCTAACATTACAAATGAAAAAAGATTTCAAGAATACCATTGACCGCCATTTCTACATTCACATACAGCAATTTACCCACGAACTGCCAATTGCACTACTTTATCCAATTAATAGAGCTAACAATTAGCAGATAGCTCGCAGACCACATCCGACTAACAGCATGCACACTGTTATTTGGCACTTCGTGCACAATTGTAATCAGCGATGAGTTAGAGTCTGACGATGAAAATTTGTCGAGTAGCCGGATAACGTTGAACAACGTTGCCACACTTATGACAAATGGTCAGAGTTGTATATTATTTAATTTAGTTTTGAAAATTTGTAAGCAGCGAGGTCATCAGTTGTGTAAGGTCGGCAAGTAAAATCAATCAAATCACAGCATGGCAAATGGTAAAATATGTTTTATGATGATTACTTTACTTGAAAGAAGGAGCTTATATCGTCATCTAAAATGCTAAATAGCGTAGCGGCGAAAGAAAACATTATAACAGAAACCACTCATATTAAAGCAAAATTTGAGTTTTAGTTATAAAATGGTTATACATTGTTTATATATTGGTTATATATTAGTTATTTATTGGTTATGCAT